AAACTCTGTAATCCAGAATAAATGACAGGAAATCTGGGTGATCCAGTAAAGGAGGCATTCAGCAGAGGTGATTAATTTGTATGTGGAAGTTCACACATTGCTAAACAGGAACATTTTGTGACATCATCATGATTGCTGAAGCATTGCGAAATTATAATTTGTTTGAGGGCGAGTCCCTCACCCTTAATCCATCACATCTCTGAGGTTACGCAACTTCACTCACTCAAAGGCTCAGTGTCTTTGAGAATAATGGATAAGTTAAAGATGGTGATAACAAGCGTATTCACAGAATGTGCCAATTTATTTTAAATACATCATGCAATATAATAGCTGGTAAATCCTTTCTGTATTTTGTCCCTTTCATGACCTTCTGTCGTCTGACACGGTAGCAGTAGGCTGTTAAACAGAATCAAGCCTTCTGTGCCAGAGTTCACTTTTCAAACCTGGTTGGAATTTATCTTGTGAAAAGGCTGGACTGCTTCAACTTTCATTCCAAAGTGATGACAGCAGTCTAACTTCTCCAGAGCTGCACCCAGGATCAATGGTGGGTGGGTCAAGAGTGAGAGAATATCAGTGTTGAGGTTTTAAAGCTGAATGTTCGTTTGAAAACATGTAGGTTGGGTAAACTACCTGTCAGCAGAAATGTGGTATACTTTATTTTTATGAAGTGGCTCTGATTGTGAGGCAGTGTGTGTATGCAGGACAGAGTGGGTGTGTGCTAGTGTAGTGGTTATACTTTATCCTATATAACCACTATGGTGGCCGATTAAAAATTATGTTTGACTCGACACATACCAAAAAAATTCCAATGTCCAAAGAAAAATGTTCAAACAATGAAAAAGTATTTATTATAAACAAAGAAGTATCACACTGATCAGAAGGCACATTTTTGTTCTAAATATGGATTCTGAAGATAAACTAAGGGTTCTAAAGTAGGGCCAGTCTCTGCAGCCTCGAGGTTGTGAGGTCGGAGACTTTACTTCCTGCTCTGGCAACACCCTCCACGCAGCTTCCTCTGGTTTTTATACCCATCGAGCCACAGACACTAAGTGAAAGAACAGAAATGAGTGCATGCTAACAATAATTATAAGTATAAGCATGGAATGAAGCAAACTTAACGGTAATATGTTTGAGCTGCTGCAGTGTTGATGTTTTAACAGTCAGTGACCAGAAATTCCAGAGTATGAACTGTTCTAATTTTGTAACTTGTTCATTAGCTAGCTGGCCAACAAAAACTCTAGAATTATTGCAATCAGTTGATGGAATTAAGACATTTGTGTGTCAGCGTTTGTGTGTCAGCCAAACACCAACCAGTTTTGTTCATACAATTGTGCAACACTGGTACCTGTAGAAACACATTTAAATCAGTCAGTTTGATTAAGTAAACCAGCTTCTGTAATTGCGACACACAATAAGGTGAGATTATAAGACGGAAAACCAATGAAATTGTGTTTTAGGCAAACTAAGTCATGTGTTGGATGTTATTTAACTGTTTTAAACAGTTTTAAAGCCATGAAGTGCAGCAACAAAAATCCTTCATTAATAATTCTGTTGCATAAATCTGCAACTTGCAATACTTTTTATATGTCATCTTAAATAAAAAATTGAGCAATGCATTTGAGAAAACATTCCTAGTTTGAAAGTCACGCTTTGCTGCACTTACTTAGGAACTGTCAGGGTGCGGTCAGTACACCCTGAGACAACATTGTAGGGTGGTGTCACTTTTCAGCATCTTTTCTCACCATCACACAAGAAGACAGTGAAGCAATGACTGAAGTTGACAATGCAATTTATCTCAACAATTTTCCAGTTGAGTTCATTCAGGAAATTGATGTGAATAGTTTCCTTCACCAAGTAGTAGTATGTTTTCATCTGCATTTGTTTTGCAGGATTATGCAATAATTATGCAACTGATTTCCATGGAATTTTGTAAAAGGATGGGGCATGACCCAATGAAGAACCCGTTTTCCCATTTTTCTCTTTTTTTTTTAACCTTTTAGAAATGGGAAATTTTTCAAAATTCTATTGGCATCTTTAGAGTAAGGATATTTATGAGTGTGTGCAAATTGGTTTAGATCCCAGTAAAATCAAGATCTAGTGAATTTTACCCAACAGCTGCATCAAAGTGTTTTTATTTTCCTCACTTCTCTCTGTTGGACCTGGCTTATTTGTGATTCTCCTTCCTGGTCTAAATGTAGGTTCACAGAATGTGGCTCAACATACACATCATGATAATAATGTAGCTTCCTGTGCACAGCCATAGCTATTTGATGTCTTAATTTAACTACAATTCCACCAGGTCCTCAGCTTCACTGAGGCAGAGAAGCCGCGGCTTGCAGGAACACAGCAGGACCAGATGCAGATGCAGATGCAGCAGCACGTCCAGAACACATTGCCACTGCATTTGCAGAAGGTGGTAACAAAGCCAAGAGCAAAAGAACAATGAACTAACTGCCGGGTGTTTTACTAATAGATGGTCTGGTGATGAGGGGTCATGTGGTGAGGGGATTCTTGTTTCTCTACTAATCTCCTAATCTAATGAATTTAGAAAAACATAGCATGCAGGGAGTAGCTGTGCCTTGAATGGCAGATCCAAACCTCATAGTGTTGCATAACTCACTGGAATATATTACTGGCTTCTCTGTTAAAAGACTTGTTTCTGATGTGGTATTTAACCCAGCTGCAGGAAACCACACAACTTTAGCTGTGTCCTCCTTACTCTGATATTGTTCTTGCAAATCGATACATTCAAATGTAGCAGGCATCACTATGAGAGTCTATGGAAGATCATATACCATGCTATATTTTTATGAAAAGGAAACTGGCTAAATAAAAACTCAATGGTGCATGGAGGGGTGTGTGTTGGTTCTGGGCACGCATTTCCATGGGTTTTCTTTTCTATGTTACCTCTTTATTGTATTTTTATGTCAGTGTTGACATGTTGTGCATCAATATTCACATGGAGATAGTTCTGAGGTTTTCACATACAGATACTCAAACAGATCAGGTTAAACCACTCAATAGAACCTTATCCATTAAGTCTTTATCATGGACCAGTCTATACATGGTGATGGTGCATTTCATAGATCTGACATTTTTCATTATGACCAATTGATTCATAAGAGAGAGATTTACAACCACCTACACCAGGTTTATTCTTGGAATCACAGTCTATAAATACAAACATAACTTATTGTGGATCAACAAGAAAAAATCAGTCAGGAAGAGTTTATGATTTGTCAATATTCTCATCACTCAACAGGCGAGTTGACCAGCAGACCAGATAGACTGTATATTAGGTCATTTACTGGCTCAGAGTGTCTCTCTAACATGCCTTTGTCTACTGTCTCAACAGAGTCTGAAGACCAAGAATTGTCAGGATGACGTCCATGCTGACTTCAGTAAACTGCTGAACGCACTCAACAAGGCAGATGCTCCGTACTCCCTCAGTGTTGCCAACAGACTGTACGGGGAGCAGTCCTACCAGTTTGTAGAGGTGTGTGTTCATGATGGGGAGTGGAGTGTTGTGAGAGGATCAGATAAGAATCTTTCCGCTTAAGTAGAAAGGAATAAAGACTGAGGGAGTGGACAGAAGGTCAGCAAACAAGCGAGCAGGGAAGTGATTGTGCAAATGTTCTCCTGGCTGTTACAACTTTAAATTCTACTAAGTCAAGTTAAGAAACAATTTTTTGATCTCTGAATCAGTACATTTGTTGCCTATGGTTTCAGGATTTTTTGGGAGAAACCAGGAAGCATTACAATGCAGAGCTGGAGTCTGTTGACTTCCAAACCAGCCATGAGGAGGCAAGACTTAACATCAACACCTGGGTGGAGAAGCAGACTCAAGGTGGGTCACACACATACGCCAGTATTTTAATAGACCTGCATGATCCCTCCATGTGATGCAATCCAATTAATGAACAAAATAATTGAGATGGACTTGAATGGGTGAATAATTACATTAGTGTTGCTAAATCACAGTTCTGCATCAGCCCTGTCTTCATGTGTAGAAGTAACTGAATTTCCAGACTGACAAAAGTGCGCATGGCCTTATCATGCCATGAGTTTGAAAGTTGATGATCTAGAAGGGGCAGCCAGTGGACAGAATCATCATTGTTTTCACATTGTTTGGCCGTTTGTACATAGGTTGGTATGTCTGTCCATCTGTCCTTTCCATTCTTGTGAATATGAACTGGTTAGACTTTAGCAGTCGAAGGGCGAGGTCATTGTGACCTTACAAAACCTGTTTTTGGTCTTGTGAACACAACCACTCCAAATCTGATACAATCAGATGTGATTTTGATGGTTGAAGGTCAAATCTCAATGTGACCTTGTGTTTTTGTGAAAATGCTACATCAGGAACCTGAATAGGGTGTGTCAGTACACATGGCACAAACATTCACTTGGACTCCAGGATGAACTGATTTGATTTTAGTGGTCAAAGGTCAAGGGCACAGATGCTTTATTTTAAGAACACCTCAAGAGAATCGTTTCACATTTGGCACACATGTTCACTTGGATTCACAGGTCTTAGTGGTCAAAGGTCTGTGGCCTCACAAAACATGTTTTTGTCCTCTTGAGTAAGATATCTCAAGTTTGCTTCAGGGAATTTCTTTAAGAGTTTGACCAGTTGTCACTTGGACTCAAATATTAACTGATTAGATTTCATTCTAAGGTGAAGATCAAGATGACCTCATTATTGTGAACACCTGGAGGCACTAATACTGCACAAGTTGGTGGAGGCGTACAATCGCAGGGCAGTAATGCTGGTATTAATTAAGAGAAATTCTATATTAATGCAGAAATAATTGAATGTGGTAACCAGTCCTTTAAGATTGTTCTTTTGTTCAAATGAATATAATTTACCTTATTTCTCTATTGAGGGAACACAGTGACTGAGCTTGCATTTCTTCATCATTTCAAATGTGTCCTTCAAATTCCTAGGTAAAATTCAGGATGTGCTGGCCCAGGGTGTAGTGGACAACATGACCAGACTGGTGCTGGTGAATGCCATCTACTTTAAGGGCAACTGGAACAAGCAGTTTAAGGAGAGTGACACAAAAGATGCTCAGTTCAGACTCAACAAGGTAAAAAAAGATGGAGAATTAGACATTTTAGCAATTTAAGGAGAAAGATCTGCACAAATGTTTTGCAATCCAGTGCCTCAATAATGGTATTTTCCATTTTAGTAGCAGCAGTACCCTCTGAAACATGTTTCAGGGGGTGGCTTTGGCTCAGGAGTTAGAGTGGTTCATACATTAGAAGGTGGGCAGATTCCCATTCCACGTGCCCAAGTGTCCTTCAGCAAGATAGGCCAACTATTTCAGCAGTGATCTATGATAGAGAAAGTGTTGCACAAAGATGAAATGTTTGTGTGAATTTGAATCTGTAAAGCGCTTTGAGTGGTCATCAAGACTAGAAAAGCTCTATATAAATAAAAACATTTAACATATGACAGATGATAGATTATCCAGAACCCATGTTTTGTTCTCTCAGTAATGATGTCACAGTGTCATCACTATAGCTTGCTTTTCTGCATGACATGATAACAAAGTGATGTGAACAAGCTTTCAGCTACTTTTTTGTTGTTTTTAGAATGAGAGTAAGCCAGTGAAGATGATGCATCAGAAAACCAAGTTCCCTTTGACCTTTATCTCTGAAGTCAACTGTCAGGTAATCAAGACATTTAATGAGTCAGTGAAAACATTGTGTCTTGTCAACCACCTGTAAATTGACCAGGCAACTAAATGGATGGCATTTTGGTCTGGAGTTTTTTGTGTTTGTTTTACTAACTAACTATGAAACCAACTACTGATTATTGTTTTTGATTTTTGCACATCAACTCTATTCAGTATATATTTATCATTATGGAAACACACTGTTCTTCAGGTCTTGGAGATCCCTTACAAAGGGGAGGAGCTCAGCATGCTCATCTTTCTCCCCATGGATATAGACGATAGTTCAACTGGTCTGGAGAAGGTAGGACATGCACAAATATGCACTTCCCCACATACAGAAACTCACAAGACAAACTAATAATTGACTTTGTTTACATCCCCAGCTGGACAAGGAGCTGACCTATGAGAAGTTTGTGGAGTGGACTCGTCCAGACATGATGGATAAAGTAGAGGTTCAACTGGGCCTGCCTCGGTTCAAGATGGAGGAGAGTTATGACCTGAAGAATGTCCTAATCAGCATGGGCATGGTGGATGCCTTCGATATAGCAATGAGCGACTTCTCAGGTAGGACATGCACCGTATATCAGATATGTTCATAATCATTTAGACTTCAGGAAACAGTAAAACTGTTCTGGCTACTGTCGACTAAAATAATTCTTAGTTTCTCCCAAATCAGCATGTCCTTCATTCTTGTCATGTAAGGTGAGATCATGCATTGTTTGTTTGAAATATACTCCATCCCTCTTTTCTGTCACAGGCATGTCTCCTTCCAATGACCTAGTACTGTCAAAGGTCGTCCACAAGGCTTTTGTTGAGGTCAATGAGGAGGGAACCGAGGCTGCTGCTGCCACTGCTGCCGTCATGATGCTGCGCTGTTTTCCAAGTCCTCCAGTCAGATTCTTTGCAGACCATCCCTTCCTCTTCTTTATTCGACATAACACCACAATGAGCGTTCTGTTTGCTGGCCGCTACTGCTCCCCTCAGTGAGCACTATCACTTCAATCACATCCCAAGTTCCCGTCCTATATTCGAGCTTCAGGATGATGAGGAGAAACTATTATTTTGGATTTTTTTTTAACTGTTGTTATCCTGCACCTTACACTCTTTGGAGGAATGTGCCTTGATCACATATGATGGTTGAAAGAAAGTTGCACTTTCTCTATAGAACATGCTATTTCATTATTTTATATATTCAGCAAACCAAAGGAATATTGTGATGAAAGTATATTTGAAGATAGATGTGTGCCTTGGTTATTCCTAATTGCACTTCCATGCATATAATGACTTATGACCATATGCAGTTCTGACCAGTTAATTTTCTGTATCCTGATGCTTTTACACATGGAATAAAATCGTGTGATTCCAAAATATTGCATGTCACCTTTTTTTCTAAGAAATTAAATAACCCTTTTATTGACATTTTGTCAAGTTCAGTGTATAGTGTGTATAAGAAGGATATCATGCAGTTTAACCTTTTATTATAAAAAAGCTGAGAGAGAATTCTGTAATATAATAAGCAGATCAGATAAAACAGCAATAACAAAGACAAGGCAGAAATAAGACCTTTGCGGAAATTCACAGTTCTGACAATCTGACACAGGAAAGGAAGCGAGGGAGGGAAGAAAGTAGACAAGCAAATTGAGGGATTATACAGAGAAGGGAAAGTAAAAATGGTGTGATGGATGCACCTTTTACTTTACAAGAGATGAGGAGAGCCACAGGAGAAACTGGGTTAACATCTCCAAGGAAAGCCCAATTCTGTTATATACGTAATGTCAAAACATTGGGAAAGCAGATAGAAACCAAACTTTTAGGGATATGTAATAAAATATGGGAAGAGGGAAAATTACCCACTTGCTGGAAAGAAGCAGTCATCTTACCTATAATAAAACCACGATAGGACCCGACAAATCCAACGAGCTACAGATCAATTGCACCTACATTGCAGCAAGAATTTTTAATTGGATAAAAAAAAAATGTTTGATAGATATATCCAGGTGAAGAGACCATTTTAGGAAAGTGGGAAAGCAAAGACAGATAACACTCAGTCTTTGCTTTCCCAGCAAGTGAAATGGCAAACATGTTAAGGTTGCATAGAAAAAGATACATCCTGTGACTCCGACATGATTATTTTCTCCAGTAACACTAAATTTTACATTCAAGAGGAAATGAAGAGAGGCAAACGAAAAGGAAATTGGGCAGACATAGAGGGAAGGTTAAGGAATACACACAATACTCCGTTCCCAATAAATCCAGATGGATCAAATGAGTCAAAGAATGGAAGGACTGGGTTTGCTTTTGTTGTCCCAGAGATAAATATAAATATAAAGGAAAGCAAACCAGATCACCTTACAGTTTATACAGTTGAGATGTAAGCAATAACAATGGCTTTACATTGGACAGAGCAAAACGAGATTAAAGTTTTTGTATGTTCAGACTTACTATCAGCATCAGTATCATTCCAGTCCATGTCATTCCAAGGCAGACCAGATTTGTGAATGAACTATAAGAAACATTATTCAGACTAAATCACACACAAACAGATGTCAGATTCATGTGGATCCCACCTCGCTCGCTAAACAATCATTAATACATGAAAGAGTTAAGGAGGTAGCTTTCAGTAAAACCGAAGCCAAAACAGTAATTATGGGTAACATCATGACTGACAAAAACAATGGGATGAGGGAGGTTAAGGACACCATCTATACCAAATTAAGCATTACTGACAAGAACTCCTCAATTCATTTACTTTCCACCATGCTACAAACTGTTTATTCTAATCAATGTTGTAAATGTTCTGATGTTCTCCTTTACACGTGGCATCTATTGCACTTCTGTTCGTGGCTCTCTCTGAGATCTCTACATTCTTTCCCCCTGTTAACAGGGTTTTTAAGTAGTTTTTTCTTACTGTTGTTGAGGGTTAAGAACAGATGATGTCCCACCTTGTTAAGCCCTAATTGTGATTTGGGAATATGGGCTATACAAATAAAATTTGATTGATTGATTGAAAAGAAACTGGATAGTGAAGAGGATTTAATTTTAAGTTATTTTTGTTTAGTTTTTTTATTTTCTATTATAATTATTTTTGATGTATTTTCGCACATAAACCACTCTGACCCACACTCCAGCATAGTAGGTGGCGCTAATGCAGCTTTGACGTTAGGTGCCACCCGCCATTAAACAAAAAGAAGAAGAATCTGTTCTCATCCACTTCAGACCTGCCGCTGGTCGCTTCCTCAACCCACGTGACACAAATACAGGAAGTGTGTTTGGAGTGTGTTCAGTGGAGCCTCTCAGTGATAATAATAATAATAATAACTATATTTCCACTCGTGTCTGGGACTTGAATGTGACCACAGAGTAAGGGACACTTTTGTTCTCTAGTTAGCTAGAGTTAGCTGATAACCTGGTTCCCCTGTGTGATGGAGCGGCTGATCTCCAGGCTCACCGACAAACACGTCCTGTTCTCGGTTTCCCTCGCTGTGCGACTGGCTTTGGTCGCCTATGGAGACCACCAGGACCGGACTATGGCGGTGAAGTACACGGACATTGACTACCATGTGTTCACGGATGCTGCAAGGTTCATCACTGAGGTGACAGCACCATGACTTCCCATGTAACAGCACATATCTACTGTATCTATTTGGAACGTTTGACATGTCAGAGTACAGCAGGTGTTGTGCTTGCATCTGCTCTGGTGTAAAAACAGTGATGATTGTGTTTTCACAAATACAATGAAGGTTTTGCAAATCTCAAGTCAGTAAGTAAGTAGTTAGATAAAGTTTATCCATAATAGGATCTTTCTCAGACCAAAGTCACAATGTGCTGCACAGAAATGACACCAGAAAGTAGTAATACACTATATGCAATAGAAAACAGTGAAAACACGCAGAACAACAATACATTGTAACAGTTTTGAAACACTTTTACATCTTGTATCTTATATTTATAGATTTATATTTTACATTGTATAGACATGGTGTTAGACCTAAATTCTCCCCCATGAACTGCTGAATTATAGGCTAACTTCTAACTTAAAGAAATAATTAAAAAAAGTGTTTTAAGTTAGTCCATCATGTGAAGCACATAAATTAAATTGAATATTTAATGTGCCACTTCCACGCTAGCTGCCTTTTTCAAATTCACTCTTATTTCACAGAGGGAACATTTCCTCCTCTGCACTTCATCAGCTAAAGTCAGGAGTTGCCTTTCAGATTAGGATTTTACAGACAAAACATGTGGGATTAGTATATAAAACAAGATCCTTATTATAGATAGTCCTTAAGAAGTTATGTGATGCATATAAAATGTGCCCCTTTTCACCAGACATCATTAATAATTATCATCAATAATAAAACCCAAATAACAATGATCAGATGATATTAACAAGACAGAGGCCATTTTGCATGACGAGATCTATTACTCTTGATACACTTTGCTGCTTTTGTACTCTACCTTTTATATCGATACGCATCTATTGCTCTTGTTGAAACATATTATATGTTGATGTTTAAAGATGTGCAGCTTAATCAAAATCAACATGTGATGTTGTCAATCAGATGAAAAACTCCAGAATTTGACTCAATCAGCAATTGTATCAGAAGAGGTACAGTACATGTTTTTAATTTTAACTTATCTTCAGGGCGAGTCCCCATACAACAGATCAACCTACCGCTACACCCCTCTGCTGGCCTGGCTTCTCACCCCCAACATCTATCTCAGCATGGTGTTTGGCAAGATCCTGTTCATTGTGTGTGACGTGCTGTCGGGACTGCTCATCTACAGAATCCTCCGCCTGCGAGGTCTGACCTCTGAGGTTTGTCACTCCGATCTTTTTTGTCTTGAAATCTTTTGATCAGAAACACATTTTGTTTTGTGAAGATCACGTAGGGGGAGCCCAGAGGCTGTTTGCAAAGTGCAGTTAAAGCTGTGTGTTTTTTTTATGTGCTTTATATTCAGACTGCACGTCGTGTGTCTTATCTGTGGCTCCTCAACCCACTGCCCATGGGAGTGTCCACCCGAGGGAACGCTGAGTCCATCCTGGCAGCCTTGGTGCTGGGGACATTACTCTGTATGGAAAGTAAGTGGGTGGATGTTGTGTGTGTGTGCGTGCTGTCCTTCAAAATACTGCCAATAATGCTAATCAGCTCCTGTGCTGATACTTTTATCTTTTTTCTTTAAGGCCGACATCTCATATGCGCAGCCATCTTGTACGGCCTGTCGGTCCATATGAAGATCTACCCCGTGACATATGCTCTGCCCATCGCTCTGACCCTGCGCACACCAGAGAGCCGAGCAGAGGACAAACAGAAGTGGAGGAGAATTATCAGGTTCACTGGAAGCTTCCTCAATACTGAGCTGTTCCTCTTTGCAACTGTGGCCGGAGGAGTTTTCTGTTCACTCACAGCACTCTTCTATTACACGTGAGACGAACAAGATGCACACAAACACACAGGAGTTGATTTCCATAGTACTGTACAGAGTACAGTAAAGTATTAAGTGCTAAATACTTTATGTATTTATTGCTATTTCATGGTAAAAATATATGGATTTAACTTTCCTATCTGAACAAGTATACAAACTTTTCATAGGTTTGAATAGAGATGCTCAGACCATGTGACTCCTTTCCTGTCTCTTCAGGTATGGCTGGGAGTTCCTTCATCAGACCTACTTGTACCACCTGACCAGAAGAGACATCAGACACAACTTCTCTCCATACTTCTACATGCTCTACCTCACTGCAGGTATTCATCCATCCAACCTTTTTTATAGCTTCCTAGTGTGACACAGTGCATCATAAGGTGTTTTCAGATATATACACTATGGAGAATGTCCTCAGAATGTGGTCTGGACTTTCTCTGCAGATTAACAACAGACACAACAGGTCATGTTTGAATACCGCTGCTGAAATCACCCTTTTTTGTTTACAGAACATCAACACTGGTGTCGGCCCTTATCAACAACAATTCTTTTGATTTTAATTGGTTTGCACTTATAACTTATACAAATTTATAAAGACATAAAAATGTGATGGAGAAGTGCAAAAACCCTCGGAGTGGCTTGATCACAGCACTCTCCAAAGGAACTGCTTGTTTAGATCATTAAAATGAAAAACAAAAGAGGCTACACAGCGGCAGATGTATGCCAGTACACAAAATATATAAATACAAAGAGTCACTAGATAACATATAATGTGTGTTTGTAATGCAGCTTTTTAAGACTGGTCTGTTTTTTTTGTCTTATGTCTGAGCAGACAGCAGGTGGAGCCAGTGGATTGGCCTGGCCGCATTTCTCCCTCAGCTCATCCTGCTGCTGGCAGCATCGTGGGCATTTCGCGGCGACCTGGCTTTTTCCTGTTTCCTTCACACGGCCATCTTCGTCTCCTTCAACAAAGTCTGCACTTCACAGGTACATGAACCACCATCAACAAACAGAGTTTAGGCAGAGATCATATAAGTTTGTTGTTTTCATGTCTCCATGTTGGTGACAGAAGCAGCCCAAGGCATCGTGTTATCAGTCTGTCCATCCCACTCTTGTGAATGTCATATGTCAGGAACACCGGGAGGGAATTTCTTCAAATACCATCTAAACATCCACTTAGTCTCAAGGATGATCTGACTAGAATTTGGTCACTGTATCTTTTTGGCATGGATACTCTGTATTGGAGTTGTTTACATTGTTGATATATCTTCACACATACTTTAATAAAGCTCTGTGTTATCCTTTCGCAGTACTTCCTGTGGTACCTGTGCCTACTTCCTCTGGTTATCCCTCACCTGAGTCTGTCTCTGAAACAGGGGTCAGGACTGCTTCTCCTCTGGTTCGCTGGACAGGTAAAATTCACCTTGGCACATTTCCAGACCATCCATTGCTGCCTTCCAGATATTGCATAAATTAATTATTGAATTTGTGAGTGAAACAGCTAAAATTGATCTTGATATGAAAGAAAACCAAATTTTCTCCAATTTTCCACCAGGGTATTTGGTTGGGGCCGGCCTACTTCCTGGAGTTTGAAGGCCACAACACCTTCCTGTTGATCTGGCTCGCCGGACTGCTCTTCTTGATCATCAACTGTTTTGTTTTGAGTCAGATCATAGCCCACTATAAACCAGCACAAACTCCTCAGAGACTAAAGGTTGAATGATCTGAATGTGGAAGGAATTTTCACTCTGATCGCAGCTTAAATATGAAGATTCAAAGGATGTTCCACCTTTCAGTGGTTTAACCTGGAGTTGATGGAATATAGTTGGTTCAAGCTCAGTCTCCTCAGTGTTTTACTGGTAACTACTTTAGTTAGCCATTGATTAAATTCTTACTGCAGGTCAAAACCTTTGTGACCTCATGACAAAGCAGATGTTATCCATTCGCTGAAGTGGCCAAAATACCTGATGTAGATCAGAGATCACACACAGTTACTTCACAGTCTAAACAAAAAATACTTATGTTCATTGCTTCACCAGAACAAACACGTGTTGTTAGGGCTCTTTTAAACCAACCTTTACTGATACAAAGACATAAGAGGTGCTCTGTGGTGTGAATGGAGACACTAACACTCAGGGTAAAATAATGCACTATGTATATGATGTGAAATTGAAATGCTTACCTCTGTTACAAGGGGATGTTTTCTTGGCTGTTTGTTTGTCTGTTAGCAGGATTATGCAAAATAATACAATTGTAATACATATTATTAATATAATACAACCATAATATTTTATTGAAAGTTAGTGAAAGGGAGAGGTATAGGCCGAGGAAGAACCCATGAATTTTTGGAACTGATTTGAGCGATGGATCCGGGATTTTTTTTCCTCCGCTTTCTTTAATATTGCAGATAGAACATTTCTGTAAAATTTTCAAGCAATATGGCAAAGATCTTTATGAAAACATTTTCAATCTGACATGTGTAGAATGCTAATCTCTATGATACGGTATATCATTAAGTGCCGATCTGGATAATGATCTAGATTTTGTGATTTGTATTTTTAGAGGGGTGATCTTTATTCAGTTACTGTAGGGCAGGCCTATTCAAATGAATGTGATGACAGATTACACTGCAAGGTGGGAAGAGAACTTTGCTGCATGATGGATGGACTTGCTCTGCCCACAGAGGTGATGGGTTTTTTCACAAAAACTACAAAAAATTAATTTTATTTATTGGTAAGACAAAGTGGAGAGGGCACGGTGTCTCTTTGTGAATATGAAAATAATGTACATGTTGTAAATAAATAAAATACATAGAATAATATCTACCTCTATTTCTTTCTGATTATAGATCATAGATTCATTGTTTAATCAATCATCATTACAATCTAATATATTATCATCTCTAAAATGTTGACTTTATGTTTCAATTAAACTTCTACATCTCTGTATTACAACAGAGTTCATATTACAATTATTTAGGGCTGGGGCGACACAGCGACGTAACCGATAACATTTAGAATAGGTGGCTTCTAAACAAAGCATAGATTCAACCGAGGAGCAAAGCTGATGCGACAAAAATTGCTTGCGATCACCTAGCACAGGTCGCCAATAGGTGGACCCATGGCTGTTATTAGACTTTGAAGGAGCGACTTTTTAAACCCTGACAGCACATGGTAGACTAGGGTAACAAATATTCCTTTCAACTGTATTAGAGAATGGACACCTTGCCTGCATTTAATGTTCTATAGTTTACAGAACATTTCTTCGTACATGGTATATGTATCTCATCTTAATACATGTAAATGCAATATGGTGACAGAGTCGCCTTCTAGTTAATGTGAGTATACAGGAATATAATCTGAAATATTTTTTCATTGTCAAAAATTTAGCAAATGTGTTAAACACCAAATCATCAATATAAAGTTCAAAAGCCTGTAATGAGTTAGAGTTTGGATTCAAATATGTTTTATTTTTTATACTTTTGTGATTCATCCCTCTGATCCAGTAATGAACTGTGAAATAAAAACTGAATTAGTGTGGAACCAATGAACCCAGGTGATCAAATGTGAACAGAGTCCACGTTTCTTTTTATCATAGATTTAATTTCAACTGATGTGACTGATTTGAATGAAGTGTTATCTTAAAAACACTCAGTGACCTGTAACAGAACTTGTTCTCGATGTAAATTTGAGCCACTGGTTTGAATGTCCACACGATAATGTGATATGCGTCAAAGGTTTCTCTTCACCTGCGGTTTGACATTGTGACCAGTAGGTGGGAGCACTTCCCAGCAGTAGAGGGACAGCGTCAGCGTCTATCCTTGTGTAACCTTCACAGATTAATCTGTCAACTAGAGCATGAACACAACCAAAACAAACACTGCTGGCAGTGGCTCTATAATCTCACTGTACACTCTCCCCCTAATCTCACATGGAGGTTATTGGAGCATTCATGTTTGCTGGCCCTGCCCCACGGGACTGATGGTGGAAGTGTGTAACAATAAGAAATATCCTGTGTGTGTGTGTGTGTGTGTGTGTGTGTGTGTGTGTGTATGTAAGAAAATTTGAGATGCTCCACAGTAGTAAGGCTTGAATTTGTGGTGTTCAGGGGACATTTTTGTGAAGCACTCTGGGTATCTGAGTGGAGGAGTTTGCCTTCCTGTGTGTTGCATATGTGCGTGCATGAGGATGACTCAGAGTCAGCTGCTGCCTGCATATCTAGTTTATGAATCACCAGGTTGCACTCGGTAACCTTTCAACCGGCCAGTCGTCCCTGGGCACATACTGTACATGAAGATTTCAATTTCACACAAAACACTGTCACATTCAGCAGATTATTTTTTTTCTAATCCTTAGGCCTCAGAATGGCTTTTTCTTTGTAGAATATTTTAGGGTTTTCAGAATCACACTGTGGGCATCCCCTCAGTAAAATGCACACCATTTTATTTATTCAGCATCACCAAATGTCTGGAAGCCTGTGTGATCATAATTATGTAATTTGATCACAGAGACATTAAACAATAGAAAGCCTACGATATTGCTGTTTAACATAACTTCACTCTGAACTAAATACATAAAAATATCTCTCCTGAGGCATCTATCAGTGTCTGACTGTAGGAAAGTAAGAAAGAAAATGCAAAATGACCCCCAAACTAGTGTTTTGGAATTTCTAACCAGATCACACACATTTAGGCAGTTCTACATAATCTACATGTTGTATTTAACCAAGAAGGTCCCATTCAAATACAATACCTCTTCTGACAGGAGTCCTATGGTCTAGATGTGCAGCAAGAAAATATGAAATAAAATTTAAAAAAAACAGGGACACACACACGAACGTATCCTTATTAGGACTCTGCATTGACTTCCAGTCATTGTGGATGGCTTAACCAAAACCTTATTCTTAACTTTAACCAGGAGGAGAAATATTGTTTTGCCTCATTAGGACCAGGCTTTAGTCCCCATGAGGTTGACTGGTCCTGACAAGGTCAGTGTTTATGCTGGAAAAGATAACGGAAGAGGCAACGAAAACAGGTACACACACAAACAATGGATATACATCGGATCATACCCAAAATAATTATGGAAAATAAAAAGCAATGACATTGTTCCATGAAAACCGATGTTAAAGGATATTAACTGCAAAAATCCTAAATTTAGGACATCTTGCAGTTCATTCAAAACATGTGGAGCATGAAATCAGAAGGCTGATTTATGCAGCTCTGTTCAGGTAGTTGGGACCTTGTGATATGAAACATGTTAAAACTGATATGTTTTTTTTTTTCACTTTAATTCAGAGAATGTCACTTTAAAAATGTTTGGGGCCCCTTGGAGCTGGGGAGGCCCCCTCTCCCACTTTGAAAGCCTTTGCTTTAGAGCACTGATTTCCAACCATGGGGTAAGAACAATTCTCAAAATGTTCTGTATACCAACATTTATAATCACGTCAAAGTCGGATGTATCGTGTCTGAACATGTAGCATTGCTCGAAAACTGTTAATCTCAACAGAGACGGCCGAACAGTAAACTGAAAGTAATTGTTAAAAAAGTCAATTTTTACATAATTTAAAATCATGTTCCAGTTTAAAATACTAGTTAGGCAAGGGGTCCTGTTTATTGTTTATCGGTTTATTGTTGTCAAGGCGTGACAAGGTTGTGGGGGTTATGGGGGGGGATTGCGTGACTGTCTCCCATATGCTTAGTAGGGTATGATGATGTGCATGCATATGTGTATGTACATGCGTGTTTGTGACATACCCTCAAGGAGTCCCCTTATTGTCACCGTGATATGGGGCAGAGGAGATGTGGACCTTGTTGTTTCTATATATGCATTGGTGCATCTGCCTGTATGAGTGTGTATTAACGTGTGTGTGTGTGTGTGTGCGAGAAAGACACCAAGAGTCGGCGTGACCAATTAGGGCAAATGGTGTGTGGAGCAGCAAAGAGTGGGGTATGAACGGTCACGCAACCTTGCATGGTATAGGATTATAGGTCTTGGTTCACACACACACACACACACACACACACACACACACACACACACACACACACACACACAGATACAGCTGTCAACAAGAATCAAACACTTTGCTTACACTACAGTTGCCCTAAGCAGCCATTCCTCTCTCTTGATTGGATGTTTCATTTCATTGTTTTCACCCTCTTCCTGAGCCAACTTCTTTTCTCACCTCGCTGCTATTTCCCCATCTCTAACCCTCTCCCTCTCTTTTTTTATTTATCATTCCCACCCTCTCTCCTCCCCGTGCAGAACAAGTGTCATACAGATGGCGTGATGCAAGTTGCGTGCGTGCTGAAGAATATTAAACATTTAAAGTTCATTGTCATGTCATCAGCCATGAGACAAAGGAGGAGAGCACTCCTTTGGGGATGGAGAGAGGAAAACACTACACAGTGTTTCACACAAGTGAGATGTTAGTCACTTAGGATGAGAGCGACGTGTGAAAGAGAGACGCATGTTTGTAATTTATGTTAAAGACCTGGAACCATTTAAAGTCACAGGGAAGCTCCTGCTTAGCTCTGATAACTACATGGTTAGTTTAGCTGGTATGTTGCATTAACCTTTTTCATATCCATTGACCACAGCATGAGTCTAGTCTGGTTAAAAACTGCAATTCTTCCAATCAAAAAGTTATAAAGATCTTAAAATTACAAATAAATACATTTCTTTTCATTTGTAAATCTCTTTCTGTATGAAACGGAATACAATTTATCTACTTGGGGGCCATAAAGGGGCCACAATTTACACCGAGGGGCCAATTATATTTCCAACATCCATGCACAGTCCCTGAATTAGTAAAATGTACATTTAAGTCTTTCCTTGTTGTCTCTATAGCCTTTAGCAAATCCACACGTCGATAACATTTTGAAAATTGGTCCTTGTTTAAACACATTGTGTTATATTTGTTATAAGTATTGTGAATGAGGACACAACATTTTATTAAAGACGACTGACCGGACAGGGGCACTTCAAGGGCCAATCAGTCTTATGCCCCCTGGCCCCACCTCTTGATCTTCCCCTGCCAGGCAAAATATGTATGTTTTAACACAAAACACAGTTTCAAAAATACTGTCACACTATTACAACAAACACATTGGATCCACATTTGAGGATCAACTCAGAACCTTTATTTGTAGTTGACTTGTATCATTCTTACACCTTTATTCATATTGATATCCTGAGTGACTTATGTGGTTTGTATTATATAAAGCTAGAGACGCTATATGTCACTTTCCAGCAAGGAGAAACCAAATGCAGAGGATGCAGCAAAGGCAGATGAAGTTGGATTTAAAGAAAAACATAAACCAGTTGATGAAGGAAGGCAAAAAAATCACAAGGTTCAAAACTCAAACTAACATAATGGCATAGTAAAAACTGAAGCAACAAAACGCAGGTGGAGCAAACATGGCAATAACAAACCGGTCAGAACTGAACCAAACAGCCTGAAGGGAAACACAGAGACTATATAGACAAAGACGGAGGCTGGGATAATGAAACGCAGGTGAAACACATGAGGACAGGTGCAGGTGATCATGGGAAACGAGACAAAGACAGGAAGCAAAGCAAGAGAGACGCCAAATCAAAGAAATTTCAAAATAAAACAAGTAAATGAAGAAGAACTTCACGTGCAAACTAAATATATTTCCCAGACATAACATAAGTCAACAAGTCAAAAGTCTATACTTCAATAAGTTCATAACTGGGGCAGAATCACACACATTGTATTAAATCCAGTGACAGTCAAGGCTACTTCAGGCACAGACGCCTTATTCTGAGCT